CCTCCCTTCACTCCCTCCTCCCCTCTCCTCTCCTCTCCTCTCTCTCCCCTCCCTTCACTCCCTTCACTCCCTTCTCTCCTCTCCCCTCCCTTCTCTCCTCTCCCCTCCCTTCTCCCTTCTCTCCTCCCTTCTCTCCTCTCCCTTCACATCCACTAACAGGCTCTTTTGCTCTTTGTTTGTTTGTTTGCTAATTACAGATTTTTTTTGACACCTGTGCCAACTGTGTGGCGTTGTGTCACATAAAACTCCCTGCACACACACACACACACACACACACACACACACACACACACGCAAAGTCTCTGTAATTTGCACGCACACAAGCGCGTCCCCTTGTGTACAATTACTTATTCTTTACTTTTTACCTCACTCTGCACGCTAGCTTTTTTCAAGGGGTGCAGGTAAACAAAACACGCACACACACACACACACACACACACTCTCACACACACACACACACACACACACACACACAGACACACACTCACACACACACACACACATTGCATTCCCTCGGCATGCTGAAGCATCCCTCGTGTGACCTCAGTAAACGCACAGACTTGATGCTGGTGGACGTGATGGTGGACTGGTTGAATGGACCTGCTGGTGGACGTGATGGTGGACTGGTTGAATGGACCTGCTGGTGGACGTGATGGTGGACTGGTTGAATGGACCTGCTGGTGGACGTGAAGGTGGACTGGTTGAATGGACCTGCTGGTGGACGTGACGGTGGACTGGTTGAATGGACCTGCTGGTGGACGTGAAGGTGGACTGGTTGATTGGACCTGCTGGTGGACGTGACGGTGGACTGGTTGAATGGACCTGCTGGTGGACGTCACGGTGGACTGGTTGAATGGACCTGCTGGTGGACGTGATGGTGGACTGGTTGAATGGACCTGCTGGTGGACGTGAAGGTGGGACTGGTTGAATGGACCTGCTGGTGGACGTGATGGTGGACTGGTTGAATGGACCTGCTGGTGGACGTGATGGTGGACTGGTTGAATGGACCTGCTGGTGGACGTGATGCTGGACTGGTTGAATGGACCTGCTGGTGGACGTGATGGTGGTCTGGTTGAATGGACCTGCTGGTGGACGTGATGGTGGACTGGTTGAATGGACCTGCTGGTGGACGTCATGGTGGACTGGTTGAATGGACCTGCTGGTGGACGTCATGGTGGACTGGTTGAATGGACCTGCTGGTGGACTAAAATGTCCTCACGAGAAGAACATTGATGCACGTCGGTTCACTTCAGAAAGAGTTTCATGAGGACATTTATTCAGATTTAATGGAGAAGCACTTAGTTCCCAATGCAAACTCCACTGGGCATCTGCAATAAAAAAGTAATGAATACGAGAGAATGCAATAATAAGAGATGAAGTTTAAGGACGAAGTTGAAACCCAGTAAGATGAATTCACGTTTGGAAAATTGAGTTTTAGAACTCCAGCTGAACATTGAGGCTCGCTGGCCAAACTCTAGAAACTGGATTTGAATTGTTGTTAAAATTGTTAAAACTTTTAGCTTCAAAATGAATTCCAGTTTTAAAGATGATGGAATCTCTAACATTGTTCTCAGGGATCAAACCAGCGACCTCATGGTCAGAGAACGACCTGCTCCTCCCCATGTTCATGCTGAAGGACCTCAGACTCGGTCGCCACGGAGACCAATCGTTGATATGCAAATGTGGCCCCTAATTGCTGCAGCAGATTGTGTCCTGATAGAATCACGGCTGTCAGGTCATTAGGCTCAGATTCTGCCTCCGTCTCAGGGACCCTCCTCGCTCCTCAATCCGTCTTAACGAGCAAGAAGAGCCCAGATGGAGCAGATAGCTGGCGTGTGTGTGAGTGTGTGTGTGTGTGTGTGTGTGTGTGTGTGCGCATTCACAGATTAATACTCCTCCCCCTGGAGGGAGGAGTTGGGCGGAGCAACGACGGAGGCTTTAATCGGACACGTCGAGACGAAGCAGGAACAGGAAGTAGTGCCCTGAGAAGGACGTCTTCTTCTTCTGCTGTGGACATCAGATAAGTGCTGCGAGACAAAAAGGTGCATTATATAATAATTATATAAGGGAATTGAAATAGTTTGATTTCTAAACATGGCGTACAGAGGATGTTTTGTTACCTGTAGGTTGCTGGTGTTCGTTTGAAATGTGGCTTGTTGGTAGAGAAGCAATAGAGAATACACAGAGTCCCTGAAGATGAACAATACCGCCTGGATCCACGGACTCTTCTTCTGGCTCCGGTTAAACTGGAGTGTTCAGTGAGAGCAGCCGTCCTCCAGAGGTGTTTGACCCGAGCACACAACGCTGAACTGTGTGTGTGTGTGTGTGTGTGTGTGTGAGAGAGAAAGGAGGCCTGCAGAGAAACGATGAGTCAACAAGCAGCTCTCATAACAAAGCTGTTCCTCTCTGATCATCTCTGTTCTCATGGAGGAGACTCTCCTGTCTCCATGACTGATGGTACCACAAACATTCATGCCAACGTTCTTCTCTCAAAATCACATGGAGACCTGGAGAACCTAGCGATCTGGTTCAGGTCCTCTCAGCAGAAGCTGCTGCGGGTCTGATGAGATGAGGCTCCTCATTCGAGCGGTTTCTCCTCAAACGTTCTAATTAAACTGTTAATAAAGCCGAAGGTGACTAAACACTGTTCACATATTTGCGTGTGAATGGGAAAAAGGTTTTGGCGGACTCACTTGGCGCTGAATTGAATGAGTTGATTACTGTCACGCACACTTCTCAAAGTGTTTGCAGAAGTAAGAAGGCATCGAGCGGTTTCTCCTCGGCAGCTTCCCACCGGGGCTCTAATGGCCTGAACGAGAGGTCACGTTGGGTGGAACTTTGTTTTGCAGAGTGTGAGACTGAACGGCCGCCGCTGCTCCGCCCGGCGCTCTCCGGAACATTAAAGCCCCGCGGCGGTCCATTAGTGCTCCTCCGTCATGTTTAAGAGCGAGAGGTAGGAGTTGCACATTAGCTGAAAGCTAACTCAAATAATGTACATGTGCAGGATTTAACCTTTGGCCCCGCGTTGGCGCGCCCACGCGGGGCCCAGCGGAGCCGCCGGCCGCTGACGCGCTGGGAGGGAGCGCGAGTATCAAAACAAATGAGTCAGCGAGCGGCCGGGGAGCCGGCGCCGTGAGCAGCTTTCTAATGACGGCTAATATTAGCATAACCTAATATGCTTGTTGATCAAGGGTAAACTTTGGGGGGAGGACATGTTAGGTGCAGAATAAATAAAAGCAGCTGCTTGGAGGGAGGGGGGGGCGAAGACGCCGAGGCCGTCCTTAACGTGGGCTGAGCTCGCCGCGTGGATCGCAGGCAATCTGTCGCTCCTCCACCGCGGTGCGCTCGCAGGCTGCCGCCGCATGCAGGCTGGGGGGGCAGTTACAACCGTGGCATTAATATATTCATTTGGGGGCCCCCTCCCCCCAAATGAATCATTTCTTTTCTTTGTTTCTTCTTTCCCTCCGGTGCCCCCCCCCCCTCTTCCCCCGGGAGTTGATTGCACGCGACCCGTCAGTGCTTTCTGCCCGCTCGCCCTTTAAATATTATATGGAGACTTTAGTAACAATTTGTTGTTCTTTTTCTCCATCACCTATTCATGGCGGCTAAGTGAGGGGCGCCGTGGGAGGGACGTGGGGGAGGGACCCCCGCCGGGGACCTGTTTGGGAAGTAAAAGCAAACACTGCGAAAATGAAGCGTGTGTTTTAATCTCAACTTGTGGAGGAACGTTCCCCCGTGCAGCTCGGTTCAAACCGTCGTAACTTCATCTAAACGATGACCACGTGTGCGTTTGAACATAAAAAAGAACACAATCCATCACTATGAACTATTATATTGCATATTGTTGTCATGGATACTGTGAGGGGACATTTTAATTCAGAGGGTCGATATTTTGTGGATCTGAATCATTACTATTCTTTAACTTCAACAAAAGCTCTTTCCTCTTACCTTTCAAAATAAAAGCTTTGGATATGTTTTCACATCACCAACGTTAACCCTGTCAGAGAAGGTGGAAGTTTTAATTCCCCTTAATGCAGGAGCATAGAATCCTTTAATTACACTTCATGGAGTAAGCAAAATGAAAATAGATACAAATATATGAAATGCTTCCTGCAAAACACAAGTTACTGTAAAAAGGTGAAGAGCAGAATTTAGGAAGCCTTTTTCTCTTGTTTTATTAAAATAAGCATTATGACTCACTGAGTAATAAAGGTGATATATGGCCAACATGCATCTCCTTTTGCAGTGCTTATGGTATAAATACATAAACCAGAAGCGTCATTACTCTCTCTCAGTGTATGTAGACACACACACACACACACAGTGCAGTCTAATAAGTCAAACTGCAGGCCAAGCAGGCAGCGCATGAATACCCAACGCAGCCTAATTGATTACCTAATTTATGCAATAACCAGTACTTCTTAATTATAGTTATTTATCGTCCAAATGTTTATGCTGCTCGGCTGATTCATGGGTGGCGTGAAGGGTCAGACTCAGCAGACCCTTCTCGTAGCTCTTCATCATCGCTGCTGCTGCAGCAGAGAGGGAGCGTCAGGGAGGAGCAACGTGGATGTGAGAAAATCACAGGTTGTTTGTGCTTGAAGGAACCACAGGCAGACCTTCTTCAGATGGTTAGAGGTTCCTCAGGTTCTCTGCAGCTCTTTGACGGCTCCTTGTCCGACTGACACCAAGCTGATGGTTATCATGCAAAGTCCTCCAGTATTAAAACTCACTTTTCCAACAGGTGCTGCTGGAACCAATCAGCTCCCCGACACTCCGCATGCTGACAGGGTGAGATTTGCGCGGCGTTAACTACCCATAACACCCGGCTAACGCTGCGTGGATGTGTTGATGATGGCGCACAGTCTGAGAAATTATTTTTGGATTCAAAATCCTTTGACAATTCTGGCAACCTTAAGAGCAAACATGTAGTTTAACTTTATTGTTCAGTAAAATGAGAACAAGTGAAACTGTTATTAAAAGTATTTACCATTTTCTTTTTTCTACATGAAAATACTGGATCAACCGTAGATGTGAAACCGTTGGCGTGTGAGTTGCCTGCCGAGGGACGGGTGCCACAGCGTGCTGCCAAACGCTGTAAATGCACAACTCTTGTAGCGGCATTAAACATGCAGCGACGCGGCGCGTGACAGCGAGGCGCCGGGTGAGCTGGAGGCCGCCTACACACACGACAGGAAGTTACCCAGATCCCGCCGCGGCGGCAGGATGATGACACGCATTTCTCACAGGCGTCGTGTTACCCGCAGACTCCGCCGACCTCTGACCTGCTGCTGAGAGAAACCGCTCCGGAGTTCAACCGCGGCTGCCACTTTCAATCCTCCCCGGTCCTCCCAGAATGCCGTTCTGCACGTTGATGCAGCTGCCGGAGCACCGGCGGCTGATGAGCGGTGACGGGACGCGTGGCCAAGACCTCAAGCAGGACGGACGGAGCGAGGGGGGCGGCGGCTGAGTCGACCCGGGGCGGCCCGCCGAGGCTCTGGGGGGGCGTGTCAAAGTTGAACAAGATCAATCAATCTATCAATCAATGTTCTATTGTTTCTCCTCCTTTCTGAGGAAATCAATCAGTCAGCACATGGATCTGGTGAACCAATGATTGATTAGTGAAGTTGGAGACAACAGCTTTTCCCTTTTACTCATTTCTAAGCTAGCCGGTAGCTAACTGTCGTTAGCTGCGTCCATGTTTTCATGGCCTTAAATTCAGAGTTCCATTCCGATCTGCTCTGACTGTCGTATTTATGGATCATAAATCAATGCAGTGGGTGGATTTATGCTCAAACCTGGTTGCAAAAGACAGTAACTGAGGATGTTTATGTAAATAACTACTCATGAATGCATAAGCAGAGAAGATCATCACTTCAAGCGACACCTTTCCCATCACACAGTCACTGGTCCACTTGGTGATGAATACCGATCAGCTGAGACACAAGAGCTAAAGCTGGCGAGGACTCTAATTAGTTTCGTTAGGACATCAAAGTAATCCAGTTTAAGCAACGAGGTGGCTCATGTATCAAGTCAGTGAACCACCTTCCACATTTCACTGCACTTCACACCCTGAGCTGATCTCTGGACTTTGTGCGCTGGAGTTGTTTGGTTATTGGGTCTTTTGGCGGCTTTGTGCCCGCTCAGCAGTCGTATGTTTGTGCTCAGATCGGCTCCCTGGCTCGTGATTAGCGAAGTCACAGATCTGCTGAGCGTGCTCTTTCTCTAATGGGCTGGCAGTGGCTTCAGACCCGGACGACCACCTCGTTCACAGAGGTGACGAATCTCTCGCTTCTCATCGCCGGCCGGCGAATGCCGACGTCTGCGCACGCTTTCTTCTGCCAGTTTGACAGCGAATCGCTGAGGCGCTTTCAGACCATCGAAGGGAAACTGGAGGCGAGTCAAAAAGGAGGAGAAGCGGAAGCAGGATGCTGTTGGCGAGCGCCGCAGGCCTTCATTTCCCCGTATCAGCGGCAGGTAGTTGGAGATCCCGATGAAAAAGGGACTTCTTTTGGGTGATGTGACACGTTTGATGAATGAAGAGACAAAGCTTCTCTCTGCTCCATAAAACAAAAAGCGCTGGAGGTGTGAGCCAGCGTCAGCTCGCCGTCTGTTCCCCTCCGAGGGCTCAGCGACACCAATTAACTCCCAAACAGCGGTAATCAGGGGACCTGTAAGATAGCACACAAATTCAATTAGAGCGTCCCCGACCATATGCCAATACGCGTCGTCTTCAAAGTCTCTTTTCCGTGAGCTGGTGACACAAAACGCAGAGGAAGCAATCAATAAGAGGCGCGCTACCAAAGAGAGGAATCCTCTCCGCTTGCTTCATCTCAAAGCTGCACGGTTCAGCTTTTTAATTCATTACACAATATTTCTACCCGCCTTCGGATTGATTGACAGGTTCTTAAACATCGGGGGACGTCAGATTGAATCCCGCGTTGGGCCCTGAGGTGTCTCCGTGCCGCCCCGCCGGCGCCAGCAGGGACATAAATCGATGAGCGAAGTAAGACGGCGCTGCCAGAGGAGTCCTCCTGCGCCTAATTGCCTCAGTTTGTCATTGTGAAAAACACACACGGTGACGGGGGGGGGGGCAAAGGCCAGCGCAGGAACCTGACACACCGTGACCCCCGAGAGCAGGACGGTGCCACTCAGGCTGCCGGGCCACCGCCTTCGGCCAATGGGATCGGCTGAAAGGGAACGACCTCGTGTCTCTGGTTGTTCTTATTAGCCGGCGTCTTCGGGAGGAGGAAGAGTAACGACGTCCGGTCCTCCAGTCAGCGACGTTCTGTCGATGTGGCCCCCAGACGGGTGAACTTAATGACAGAAAAAGTGTTTCACAACGAATGAAAAATGTGTCTTACTTTGGGGGATAATAAGGAGTAGTAGTCTGGGTCGGTCACACAAACACAGGACTGTCACTTAGCAGAGCGCTGTGCTCGTTCTGGATGTTGTGTAAGCGGAGCTTGTTTTACACAAGAAATGCTTTGTTTCTATGATGTAATAACATTCATTTGATGACATACGTTTGATGTATTTTTCACATGAACCATAACGCAGAAAATAAATATTACATTTTTTTTTTCAATTCATTTTTTTTGTATAGCCCAAAATCGCAAATGACAAATCTACACGTCTGTACGACATCCTCTGTCCCTCACATGACACAGGAAAAACCCAAACAATGAAAAACCCTTCCAGGGGGGAAAAAGGAACCTCAGTGAGAACGTCAGAGGAGGATCCGTCTCCTGATGGACAGACTGCAATGATGTCATGTGTACAGAATGAACAATGTAGAAGATGAACCACCATCACATAGAACCAACATCAGATAGAACCACCATCAGATAGAACCACCATCACATAGAACCACCATCAGACAGAACCACCATCACATACAACCACCACCAGATAGAACCACCATCAGATAGAACCACCATCAGACAGAACCACCATCACATACAACCACCATCAAATACAACCACCATCAGGCAGGACCACCATCACATAGAACCACCATCACATAGAACCACCATCAAATAGAACCACCATCAGGCACGACCACCATCACATAGAACTACCAACACATAGAACCACCATCAAATAGAACCACCATCAGATAGAACCACCATCAGATAGAACCACCATCAAATAGAACCACCATCACATAGAAGCACCATCAGATAGAACCGCAATCCAATAGAACCACTATCAGATATAACCACCATCACATAGAACCACCATCACACAGAACCACCAACACATAGAACCACCATCAAATAGAACCACCATCAGATAGAACCACCATCAGATAGAACCACCATCAAATAGAACCACCATCACATAGAACCACCATCAGATAGAAGCACCTTCAGATAGAACCGCAATCCAATAGAACCACTATCAGATAGAACCACCATCACATAGAACCACCATCAGCAGGTGTCAGGACCAGGGTCCAGAAGGAAATATGATCTACAGAGACCTGCTAGGGGAGAAAGCACAAAATAACTATATAAATACATTTATTAAACCTATTTTGGTGACCAAACGCTTTGCACCCTGATGTACGCTGGGGATATTTGTAATATCAGCCGGCTTGGAAGCCAACTAGTTAAAACTGTACTTGTGTTTGTGGAAGCGCACAACCAGAAGACTTGGGGAGAGTCTCTGTGTTATAAACTGTTATCTCGTCCATCTGCTCATCGTGGAAACGCCAAGGAACCCTCCAGTGGGTGGTGTGTCATGGTGGGAGGACGGAGATCTGATGAAGAAGGAAGTAACATGTTAAACTACAGGCATACTGTCTATGTAGTACCAACGCATTCTCTTTGTATATTAATTGAATGCATTGGTAAACCTCACTTGTTATTTCTTTCGTTTTTATTTAGTTTTAGATTTTACGTGCAGCTACTAGAAGATGTGCAGGACCTTGAGACTATTGGAAGTACTCCATCAGACAAAGCGCTCTATAATGAAGACCGGTCCTGCCATTATGTCCCAGAGTTCCTAGCGGTCTTCGTCTGGGGTTCCTCGGTGACTTTGTGAGGCTAATGGCCCTGGTGAGGATGGACTTGCTAATTTGCTAATGGCTTCTTCTTCTTCCTGCGGGCCATGAGATCATCAGGGTGATGTACACCCCTCTGATCACTATCGCTCTGCTAATGCCCTCGGAAACGAGGGACACTCTTTCAATCCCATGACGGGTCCCCGAGCTCAGCGTTCAATACCGCGTCGCTCAGCGTCCCGCTCTGCGCTCTTTGCAGATGGAGGTGGGGGCTCACATCCTTCTGGGGGCGACGTGAGTCATCCTGAGTCATGTGTTCTCTGGCCAGAGGAGCTGTGGAAGTCATTGCAGAGCTTCTGCTTCTCTTATGACTCATATGAGCAGCTTATTGATGTCTATTAAGAAAAAGAAAGAAGCCTCCATTTACCGGAGCAACTGGAGGTTCAATGTCTCCATCGAGGAGGCTACAACACGCCGAGAGGAGGAGGAGCATCCAACCGACGACTTGTGATTACAAAAAGAACAGCCTCTCTTCTTCCTGAGCCCGATGTTCCCCCTTCAGCAAGGACTATCTCAACAATTTCCTTTGTAGAAAACATCCGCATCAAAAAGAAGTGTTGAATAAATCAGCAAAGAAAACTGAAAAATAAGAATTCAAACGAATATCTTCACATCAGAAAACTGGATGGAATCTAAACATCTGGATAGAAGGAAGAATGCAGCATTACTTCATAGGTTGTTTCTCCTGTGACTGACTGTTTCTCCTCTGACTGGCTGTTTCTCCTCTCACAGACTGTTTCTCCTCTGACTGGCTGTTTCTCCTCTGACAGACTGTTTCTCCTCTGACTGGCTGTCTCCTCTGACAGACTGTTTCTCCTCTGACTGGCTGTCTCCTCTGACAGACTGTTTCTCCTCTCACAGACTGTTTCTCCTCTGACGGGCTGTTTCTCCTCTGACTGACTGTTCCTCTTCTCACAGACTGTTCCTCTTCTCACAGACTGTTTCTCCTCTCACTGGCTGTTTCTCCTCTGACTGACTATTTCTCCTCTCGCAGACTGTTTCTCCTCAGACTAACTTTTTCTCCTCTGACTGGCTGTTTCTCCTCTCACAGACTGTTTCTCCTCTGACTGGCTGTCTCCTCTGACAGACTGTTTCTCCTCTGACTGGCTGTTTCTCCTCTCACAGACTGGCTGTTTCTCCTCTCACAGACTGTTTCTCCTCTGACAGACTGTTTCTCCTCTGACTGACTGTTCCTCTTCTCACAGACTGTTTCTCCTCTCACTGGCTGTTTTTCCTCTGACTGGCTGTTTCTCCCGTCCTGTTGTTAGCTCCTTTCCGTACCCGCGCGTCACTAATGGCGTTGCAGAATGCCTAATTGACTCTAAATCAGCGTGACTTTCTCGAGGAGGGGGCGGGACTGATCAGGCTGCCATCAATGGGGTGAGAGGTCAACGACGGGGGGGGTGTGTCCATAAAAGAGCAGCGACGTGATGCGACGCCGGCGCCCTTTTCTGCTGAGGCCGATGCTGCGTCATGAACGAACTGCAACTCACGGCGGCGAACTCATGTTTACAATGTTTACTGAGGGAAAGAATCGAGAGAGAAGAAGAGTCGTCTTCTCATAGACGTCTATGGGAGCAGAGGAGTCGCCCCCTGCTGGTCACTACAGAGAAGTAGAGTCATTTCCTCATAGACGTCTATGGGAGCAGAGGAGTCGCCCCCTGCTGGTCACTACAGAGAAGTAGAGTCATTTCCTCATAGACGTCTATGGGAGCAGAGGAGTCGCCCCCTGCTGGTCACTACAGAGAAGTAGAGTCATTTCCTCATAGACGTCTATGGGAGCAGAGGAGTCGCCCCCTGCTGGTCACTACAGAGAAGTGGAGTCATTTCCTCATAGACGTCTATGGGAGCAGAGGAGTCGCCCCCTGCTGGTCACTACAGAGAAGTAGAGTCATTTCCTCATAGACGTCTATGGGAGCAGAGGAGTCGCCCCCTGCTGGTCACTACAGAGAAGTAGAGTCATTTCCTCATAGACGTCTATGGGAGCAGAGGAGTCGCCCCCTGCTGGTCACTACAGAGAAGTAGAGTCATTTCCTCATAGACGTCTATGGGAGCAGAGGAGTCGCCCCCTGCTGGTCACCACACAGAATGCAGCAGTGACACATTTCACTTCCAGAGGTTTGTCTTGAGAGTCCGATCGGAGCCGTCGACGACTCCTCCTTCTTCTGTGTAAGAGGTTAATAGTGTAGCACGACAACACTAGTCAGTCATACAACAGTTCAAAGGTCGCCTTTTAGCGCAGGCTGTCATTAAGTCATCACGTCGTGGCGCAGCGGGTAGAGCGGGTGCGCCGGGAACCGCAAGGTTGGTGGTTTGAGTCCAGGCTGCCCCATGTCTCAAGTCGAAGTGCCCCTGAGCAAGACACCTGACCCCTAATTGCTCCCCGGGCAAAATGTGAAAAAGCCACGTGTTTAAAGTGTAATGTGAGCGCTTTGGATAAAAGCGTCAGCTAAATGACCTGTAATGTGACGTAATGGATCCAGCACCTGTCGATCAGAGCAAGCAAACTTCTCCACGTCGGAGAAAATAGTCCTCCAGATTTACTCCTCTCTGGTTCTTGGTGGTCACGCTTTCACCGGCCCCGTCCCGTCCCTGCTGGTGACCGTCCCACCTGACGAGATGCTAGTGGCAGAGCCCCACCCCGAAGAGGACTCGGACTCCCCACCTGCCGCCTCCCCTCTGCTGGCCACCCCCCCCTCTCTCACCCCCTCACCCACCTGACCGACCAGCTGGGCCTCACCCGTCCCCAGAGTCACCCCCTCCCCCCACCTGACCTACCGGCTGGGCCTGCCCGGCCTCTCCCCGGTTCCGTGACCCACCAACCCCCCCACGGCCAGACCGCAGTCCTCCACGGAGCACGCGAAGCCCGGCGCGAGCTTCACGCCGGGCTTCCCCGTCAGCCCCGTGAGGTCCGACATGCCGATCGGCTCCAAACACACACAACCTCGCATAAAAGAAACAAGGCGCACATACACACGACCACGCATTCACACAACAACACACACCCGAACGACACCGAAAAAAACGAAATAACGTATCGAAGAACGTAACCGAACAAATCACCTCACGCTCCGTTCCCTCAGAGAGAGAATCTGGAGATAATCGCAGAAGACAAAGTTTGCAAATGAGTAATTAGTTCAATAACGGTTTCCCAAAACATCAGCCCTGAAGCAACGGCTCTGCATCGATTACAACAATTAACATAAGCAGCGCGGCGGCGTGATGGACTCGCCGTGCGAAGGAGCGCGGCTTGCTAATGGGGGACGGCAGGACCCCCCCCCCATTGCTATCTGCTAACACAAGATCTCCTTTTCTTCATTCTAAGCTTCTCGTCTCAATGAGGAACGATTGGACTTCTTCCCAGCATGCATCACATTTGCATGACTTTCACCTGAGCGCTCGTTGGGTTTCTCTTCAGGACGGTTTTGGGATGGATGGCGTGGAGATGAAGGAGATCTTCTTTAGTTATGCAAAGCTTCTTTGCTTCTTTCTTTCTTCTGTCTTTGTGAGCAGCAGATTCT